GGGGAGACTGCTAAAGGGCACGGGGTTTGTTTCGGAGGGGATGAAAATGTCCTAGGATTGGTTGTGGCGATGGTCGCCCAACTCTGTGAATGTACGAAACGCCCCTGAATCGCATATTTCGATGGGTGAGTTGTGTGGCATGTGAATTGTTAATATATCTCAATAAAGCTGTTGTGTAAAATAATTATAGCGGCAGGTGGTGAGATGGTTGATGAACAAATGAGCGAAAGGCTGGGATGGAGCAGCCCAGCCCCGGGGTTGGCCGGGAGGCCGGGAGGCGATGTCTGAGGCGGGGCTCGCGGGCTGGGAGGGGCAGACGGACACAGGGCTCCAGGCGGAGCGGACGCCATGTGTGTGCAAGGAGCCCAGGGGCTCCGGCGAAAGCTCCGTGTCTCCTCGGAAGGGAGAGGTGGGCTGTGCTGTGTGGCGTGGGCCGCCGAGGGCTGGAGAGGTGGCCGGGGCCAGATCCCCCAGACGGGACCCGCTGACCTTAGTGACGTGGCCACTGTGCTCGGGACTCTGCAGAATAGTCCCTCCCAGCCGCTCAGCACCCGGACGGGGAGCTAGCCTCGATGAAAAGGGCAGACATGTGCACAGTGCCTTTTTCTTATTCCTCTCATGAGTGTCCTCCAAGTCCCCGGGGGGAGGATGGCCAGGGGTGGGGTGCCAAGGGGCTCCTAGAATTCAACCCAGAGAAGTCAGAGACCCCTTCGGGTCACATAGCTGGGCACTGGCCGGCCAGCCTCCTGGGTCAGGCCAGGCCTCCTACACCAGCCTCCCCTGCCAGCTGGTTTGAGACGGTGCCTGTTTGAGGGCCCTGCCCCCGACGACTGCCGCCCGCCCGAGGGGATCCGTGGTCCAGAGCAGCTTCCCAGCAGGGCAGTGGCGATGCTGCCACTCCCAGCAGTTCCTTCTGGAGGAACTTCTGTGTTTATTTCCGTCCTAGGCCGTGGAGACATTTGGGCGCCAAGGGGCTGCCTGGAGCCAGCAATGGTGGGAGGTGCCAGAGAAATGTCCTGCCAATGTCCCACCTGCCTGCACTTGAGGACAGAGCCCTGTGGCACCTCCTGTCCTCCTTTGCTCTGCCCTCCCCCCACCATGTTGGGGTCTTCTGAGCTGCAGCGTCATCCCACCCCACCCACCAGGGAGCCAGCCAGGTGCTGCAGGATGCTGCCACCACAGGCTGGGCCACGGCGGTGACCCCGGTGTTCCAAGGGGCAGTCGGGCCCTGGCTGGGAGCTGTGGGAGCCGCCGCATCACACCTGCCCTGAAAGTGCACGGCGTCTTCTTGGATCCCACTCCCCCTGGATATGCAGCCCAGCCCCTGGAGGCAGGAGGGCACGAACGTCACCTCCGCTCTGCAGGAGCGGAAAGTTGATGTCACGAGAGGAGGTGGCAGAGCCAGGATTTGAACCTAGGCCAGTGGGACCCCAGGTCTGGATCCACCTTCAAATACTGGGGCCTCCCACCTCCCCCGGCCTCAGGGTGGGTCTGGGAGCACCTGGGCATTCCAGGGTGGGCACCTGAGCACGAGGCTGCGGGTGCTGGGAGAGGTGGGGAGGTGGCTGGGCCCTGTGCAGGTGAGGGGCAGTGGCCGCCAGGTACAGGCTGGACTGACTCTGGTCCATTGTGGGCAGCCCTCAGTTTATGAAGACCCATGTGTGTACGAATGTCTGTAAACTGAGGCACAGTGTGACAGCCCCTCTCTAAGGAAGATGAGCATGACCGAAGTGGCCGAGAGCCGCTCCAGACCTTCCTTCTGGGTCCAGGGACATGTGTCACATCCTGGCTATGCCTACAGTGAGAGGTGCCTGGGTATAGAAGCCCTCTTTACAAACACAGACCCCTGGGCTCTTATCAACAATCCACACCCTTTGGAAGAACCCTCCGGAATACGGGGGAAGACCCCTCAGACAGAGAAGTCCCAGATGTGCTGTGGTGGGAGGGGCGTCTCTTCTCTCCTGAGATGGCCCTGTGTCCACCCCCACACCTGTCCTCTTCCCTCTGTGCTCGTCAGCATGGGGGCAGCTGGATGGCTTTGTGAACTGGCTCCTTTTGCGGCCCCCATCAGACTGGGACATCCCGGGGCAAGGGCTCGTAGGGCCGAGCTGTGTGGTCAGCCCAGGAAGTTTCGGTCACCCTGCTCCTTCCTAAACATCGGTTTGGCCTGAGAAGAAGAGAGTCTATTTCTCAAAGCATTTTGGCCCCCGGGGAGCAGAGTGATGGCCACAAGACTCACTTTCTGACCACTGGCCAGGCCAGATAGCCTGGGCCCCTGGAACGGTGCCAGGACGGGCTTGGGTCTGGTGCCTCCCTGGGCTTGGTGCCCAGCCCCAGCCTGGTTCTCTCTGGGGATGGGGAGGAACCCTAAGCATGGCAACTGGGTCATTTCCCAGGACCCAAGTCTTCTTCGCAGGGCTGGCACACCTTGTCCTGCCCCTCAAGGGCTTGGCGCTTGCCACTGTCCTTCGCACGGCCAAGCTAAGGGACGGAATTAGCTCCCCACGGCCATTCTCCAGGCTCTCCAAGCAGCCAAACCATCTGGGAGAGGGACCAGAATGGGGCCTCCTGGGAATGTGCCCAAGGCTTTTTCTTCTGGTTCCTCTGGGAAAAGATCCAGAAGAAGACTGAAAGCTTCCTGGCTGGCAGGAGGGGGTGGGGTGGGACCAGCCTGGCCCTGCCGTCAGGAGAAGCCGTCGGGGCTCTGGGAAGCCCGTGCTCCCACGCAGCCAGGACCGTGACCGCCTCTCACTGCGCTTCGCTCACTCCTGGTGTCCAGGCAGACCTGGCCCTCACGCCAAGTGCGATTTCATGGAGGCCTCAGGAGTCAAACCCTCTCCCGAAGGTTGGCCTGCAGCCAGGCCGTGAGCACTGAGGTCTGTCTGCTGCTCAAGCATGGGCAGAAAAATCGGGGCTCGGTAGGTGGGACCCGCACCTCCTCCTCCTCCCGACCCCTGCCCCCTGAGATGTGCCCATCCCCGGCCTAGCTCCTGGGGGAGCCAGTGACAGGCACCTGCCCTGCGGACCCACCCATGCTCTCCGGCATGCCAAGGCAGGGACGTGTGGGTGCAGACATTTCAGGAGGACCCCTTAGCAAACCACCAGACACTTCGGCAATGCATGTTCTCAAGGACCAAAGGGAAGGTGAAGGATGGGTCGTGGCTTGCTGCCACGTCACTTGCTGTTCGGTGCTGCAGTGAGCAAGGGGACTTGCGGGCCAGGGAGAGCTGGGTTCGAATTCTGGCTCTAGTGCTCACAAGACCCCCAAACCCAGGCAAGGGCTGTCCTGCCCTGAGCCCATTTCTCACCCACAAAATGGGTTTCATAACACTGCCTCCCGAAAGGCCGGTGAGAGGTGAGCGCTGACAGGTGCCCCTGTAGGGCTGGGCTCGGCCCCTGCTGTGTTCGTCCTCGGGCTTGTGGTTGGAAGTGGTCCGCTTCCCTCCATCCTCTGCCCAAATTTCCATTTTCCTCATGACATCTTCTTCCACCGAGTGGCAGATTGTATTATCGTTTAAAACTACTGACTCCTTCTCCATGGGGGTTTGTACTTCCTGCTGCATCAGTGGCGGGTTTGACCACATGACCTGCTCTGGCCAATGCCATGTGAGCAGAAGTGACACACATTGTTTCCAGGCAGAAAGTTTGAGAGCAGCGCGTGGTTCAGCAGGTGTGTCTGCCTCTGCCATGAGAGATCCTCCACCGTGGAGGCTGCCCGGCCACCCTGAGTGTCAGAGCAGGACGACACAGAGCAGAGCTGTAGCCGCCCTGGAAGGACAGGCAGCAATAGTAAGACAGAGACCTTCATGGCTGGAAGCCATTGCGATTTGGGGGTGACATCCGGTCGATACATGTCACGGCTGTTGGGAGTCTTTAAAGTGGTGTCTGGGAGCTGTAATTTTCGGTCTTCAGCTGCTTCGAGGTGGCATGGATAATTAACAGAGCTAACATGTGATGTCCTGAGACTGGTGGCCACTCTGTCGGCACTCGATCAGGAGAGAGTATGTGGTTATGACCTGGCATCCCTGCATGAAGACCAGACTGACATCGCCCAGCTGCCTGCCTAATCCTCCTCTAACGCAGGTGGCAGGGTTCAGCCTGAGGTTCGTCCGTAGGTGTGGGCTTTACGAGACTCTCGGGGAAGCTCCTCTACTGAGTCAGAGGCCTGTGACCTTCTCCTTCACCTCCGGGGAACCCCACCTGCTCTCCTCCCCGCACCTGCAAGAGCTGTGTGGATGGCGGCTAGTTAATATGAGATTGCATTATCCACCTCCCCCCTCCCCTGCTGCCCAAGGCCAGGTTGTTAAGCTTGCGGTCCCAGGGAGAGCACACACCAGAGGACCCAAGGGGCATCTCTACACGTCTGTTCAGCTGTAAATGTCCTCCATTGAGGAAGCCAGTACCAATCCCTCTGCCACTCCTGACCCGCCCCTTCCCCTGCAATCAAATGGGACACAGGGGTCTGTAGCACTCCTTAGCACTGGCCTCACTGGGATGAGCTGTCACAAGTGTTTCTGGTGCCTCTCGATCCTTCCTCAACCAGGTTACTGGCCTTTTGGTGGTCGTCAGTGTCACCTTCTCAGCCACGTGCCCCTCTCAGCACCGAGCGCATGCTAGGTAAACAGTGAGTGCTCAGTAAAGACTGCTTGTGCTCTCCCGAGTTGGTGGCCTGGTGGCTGGTGGTGCCGTGGCAGGACAGAGGGCAGCTCTGCCCACGGCCAGCTCTCTGCAGACTAGTTCATGAAGGCCACACCAGGGAAGCAAAGTGGCCCCCGACCCACGGCTGTTGGGAACGGCCTGGCAGAGCCGGCAAGGAACAAGGCAAGGGGGGCCCCTCCTCTGCCCCCAGCCTGGGCTCTACTTTCCCTCCTGATCTCTGCCCCCTTCCCTAGTCCCAGCGGCTGGGCACCCTGAGCAGACCAATTCTCTCTCAAAGGACGGAGTTCTGTGCTTGGGATTGGCGCCTCCCAACTGCCCACCAAGGATTTGAACACAGTAACTCACAAAAGCCATTTCTCTTTATTTTTCATTCCTGCCGTTCAACCAGTTTGCGCAAGCTGAAGATGAGTGGGTTTTGGAGGGGGAGGCGGAGCATCTGGGGACAGACCCTCCTGGAAATAGTCTATGCACACTGCTGAGGCTGGTTAGACTTGAGAAGCGATTGAACAATAAACTCTACAGAATTAGAAATGTACAAAAGTGTCAAGGTGGCTGCTGGCTGGTTTCTCACCTCCCCATGGGGGTCAGAGTTACACCCATCAGTCCTGTGCAAAGGTCCTGGGGCTGGCCTGGGAGGGGCAGCCAGATTCTTCCCTGGGGACAGGAGCCGTCCTGCTCACCCAGCACAATGTGCCGACAGACAGGCGTGTGGGTGTGTGCCCAGGTGCCGTGGCCCCCTCCGGCTCTGTGGCTCCTCGAGTGTGTCTCTGTCTCGCCTCTATGTCCGCCCTTTGAAAGTGTTCATGCAGGTGTAGGTTCCTGAGAATTTGTGGATCTCCTCGAGTGCAGCCTGTGGGAGTATGCTGGGGAGTGGGGAGGAAGAGAAGAGACAGTCAGTAGGGGTGGGGACCAGGGCCTGGGTCACTGGGGACCATGCAAGACAGCACGGTGGAGTCATAGTTCCCAGAAGCGCGCCCTGCCCATCTCCAAGCCACACGCCAGCTGCCCCCCACCCACCCTCCACGGGGAAGGGCTTTCAAGTAAGTGGACAAGCAGCTGTTGACCAGGCAGAGGGAGGTGGCAGGAGAAACTTTCAAAGCCACATTCTTAGTGTCTTAGTGCCCGTGGATGTCTCAGGCCAATCAACTCCAACTGCCACTTACTCAACAAAGATTTACTGTGTGGGTCTGAGCAGTCGGGTGCGACCTGGGTGGCACAACCTCCAGGGGACTGTCCCAACCTCACCCTCAGGCCTCTCCTCGGTGCAACCCAGAGCTCTTGTGCTTCCCCTGTAGGCCCTGGTGTTGTCCTCCCCTGGTCACTTGGCAAGCCCGTGGCTGCGTTTGTGGTGGACATTTCACTTCTGGTCCCCGGCCCCTAGCACAGGCCCGGCACGGAAGGAGCCCTCAGTCCGCTTGTTGATTCAGACTGAAGGGCCCCGGCCCACTCTAGTACGAGATGGGAAAGGTTCACTTTCAGCTGGAGCAATCTGGAAGGCTTCCTGGGGGTGGTGGCACTAGAGTTGAGCCTTTAAAGATTTCTCTTGGGGAAGTTGAGGTGGGATGCACCGCAGGGAATGCTTGCTTTCTGAAAAGTAGTCAAGGAGGGGCAGGGAATGTAAGCTGGGGGGTTGCTGTGGGGAGTGCTGAGATGTTTCTGACAAACTGACTTTTCTCTAGAACATTCCAAAAGGCTTCTAAGAGGCTCTGTTGAGGTGGGGGATGGCAGCTGGCCTCAGTGAGGACCTGAGCACTTGATCTCCCAGCTCACTGAGGCAGCCAAGGGGCATGTTGGATGCACAGGCAGGATGACTGAGGGACACCAGCGTGTGGCCTGTACGCCCCTGGGTGCCCCATCCCTGTGCCTCTGAAAGGGCTCTGAGCTTGGAGGACAAAGGACGGACTGACGCCGTTTCTGTGCCCACCAGGTTCGCGGCAGGCAGAGGGAGGCTGGCTTTCCTGGGAGTCAGTGTCTGACTAACGCCGGGCCCAGCCTGGCACTTGGGTGCTTCCTTCCCTGAAAGGGCCTCTGGGGTCAGAGGGCACCGGTGAGGTGGAGGCCGGGACTGGAGGTGGCTGGAGCCCCTGAGGAGCCAAGGGTCCCCTGTGGCTCCAGGGACGAAGAGCTCCCTGCTGTCCTGACAGGCCCAAGAAAACCACGCTTAGGTGTCCACCTGCAAGAGCCCTTTCAGTGTGGGACTGGGATGGGCAGGGTTTGCTGCACAAAGTCTGGAAAGTTCTTGGGGAATACGATGCCGGGTAACTTCGGAGGAGGACTGTCTCCTTTACAAAGGGGTTTGCCCTGGGAAACCCACCTGACGAGTGCTATGACGTTTCTGTGCATTCTGAGCCTTTGGCTCGGAGACCCCTGTGCTGCCCCTTAGAGTAACTTCCTGGGGCTGGGGCTGTAGCGCAGTCGCCAGAGCAGTGGTTCTCAAAGTGTGGTCCAGGAACCCTTGGGGGTACCTGAGATCTCTGCAGGGGTCTGTGAGGTCAAAGTGTTTTTATAACACTATGATGTTATTTGCCTTTGTCACTCTCTTTCTCCCAGCGTACAGTGGAGTTTTCCAGAGGCCATATGACATGGGATATAGAACAACAAATTAAAAGCAGAAGCAGGTATAAGAATCCAGTTGTCTTCCATTAAACTAGACAACAAACGGATTTGCAAAAACGTAAAACAATGCCACTCCTTACCGCATTTATTTTGTTTTAGAAAATATAATTACAGAAAGTTTTTCTAGCGGTCACTTAAAAAATATATATATATATGAAAATTACTTGCCATAAAAATATATTTATGCTAAGGCAATGGGTTTATTACTAACAATAAATAAATAAATATTGTATCAATCTTGAAGGATTCTTCTAATTTTCTTTTAATTTCTAATATAGGAAAAAGTGGTAAGATACAACTCAAATCAGCAAAGCTCTCTGGGCTCCTCGACACTTTTTAAGGCTTAAAGGGGTGCCGAGACCAACGAGTTTGAGAACCGCTGCCCCGCGTGAGGACAGCACATCCACGGCAGACGTGTCTCCACTGCACACCCTCGTGCCCACGGCAGACGGGATCATCGATCCCACGTGCACTTTCTCCTGCCTGCCACCTCCTCCCCACAGGGCCCGGTGGAGCAGGGGACGTGGCCAGCGCGAGCCTGGCCCGGGGCGCCCCCCGCCGTACCTTTTCAAGATGACGAGGGCGTGCATGGTCCACGGCAGCAGCAGCAGGGCCTGGTTGAGCTGCACGGCTTCCACCGTCCGCCGGGCCACCGTCTCCGGCTTCAGTGGGGGGAAGAGGTTGGGAAACCTGAACGCAGGAAGAGACACAGTGGGTTTCTCCCGGAGAGGCACCTGCTCGTGCTAGATGCCTCTGCGTGGCTGACACATCTGGGTCACCCTTTGGCCTTTTCTGTTTGGGAGACTTGAGGCCTGTTGGGAACAACCCGCTAGCCCAGGCTTGCCGGGAGTTCCACGTTCCCCACTCTCCCTGTGCACAGGGGTCTCGCCTAGAGTCCAGGACTCCCAGCCCACCCACCTGGGACCCATTCTCCAAGCTCCCCCAGGGGCTCCCAGTGCTCTTGGACTCTGTCCCACACTCTCCCCGACCCTGAGCAACCCGGGCCTGCCAATCGCTCCGATCCCTTCTTTCCTAGTCACTCTGTGCCAGCGGGACTGGCCAATCTCTGTGTTTTTGTCACATTATGCTCTGTCCTGTCAGGGTCTTGTGCCAGCTGTCCCATTGGCCTGGCTCTCTCCTACCAGCTCCTGGGAGACGTCTTAGCCCCATGCACCCAGAGTGGCCTCTGATCTCGTTCTCTGCTAATTCCTTGGCCACATTTCCCCCAGCTAGAATGGCCTTGCTTGTTAGCGGCCTGTCTTCCCTGGTGAGTTCCACCAGGACAGAGGCCTGGTCAGTCTTGCTCCCTAGCACAGAACCCAGCACATAGTAAGTGCTCGATAAACACTTGCTGAAGGTGAACACTGAGCCACTTGCTGTTCCCCACCTGTGTCCTGCCCCTCCTGTCTGGAGACACGGGCTCCGCTGGAGGTGCCTTCTGCCCAGCTTGCTCACTAACTCACCGATTGATTCATCAATTCATTCAAATATTTATAGAGTGCTTTCCATGGGATTTCAAAACGAACGAATGATTGAATAAGCAAATATCAGGGGCTTCTCACGTGTACTTAGAGGCATCTGACCCAGACCCACACAATGGTGATGTTCCCTAAGTGCCAGGCGCTTGCACGAATTATTCTCCCAATTTACAGACAAGGAAACTGAGGGTTCAGTGAGTCAGTGGGACACCAGGGATTCAAATCAGGCCAGTGCTCTATCACCTTCACTCACTGCTCTTCCTGCCCTCCTGGGCCTGTAGGTGTGGGGCTGATGCTGCTGGCTCTGACCCTAATCCCACAAAGGGCTTGTGATCCGCTCCGGCACCAGGAAGATTAAGGGTGATGAGTCACCCAGCCCTGATGTCATTCCTGAGCAACAGGCAGCCCTTGGGCTCCCAGCGGAGGCTTGGGCCTCAGAGGGCACAGAAATCTCACCCCCAGCCCTGTACTTCCTGTGCCACCACGATGGTGATTCTAAGACAGCCCTGCAGTCTAGAAGGGCCAGCTCTGGGGTTCTGCAGAGATGAATGTGCAGAGGCAGCTGACACTGGAATCCTATAGATGTGAGGGACAGTCTAGATTCTCCAGCCTCCACTGTGGCCTGTCCTGTTTCTTGGGGAAGGGGAGACAGGGTGGAGAGACCAAGCTCCATGGTCCTGGGGGGGCCTTTCCTGCTAAGACCCCTGCAGGAGAACCCGACAGAGGAGGCCTCAAGCATGTCTGCAGAGGGGATGTTCTCCTTCTCCACGGTGGGTGGGACGGGAATCGTCGATGCCCATGGAGGCAGCACAGATCCGTGGAAAGAGCGTGGTCAGCTAGCCAATTTCAAGCTGCGTGGCCTTGGGCAAGTAACTTTGCTTCTTTGAGCCTCAGTTCCCTCATCTGTAAAACGGGGATAGGAGCCAAATGCAGCAGCATTTGTAAAGGGTCTGGTGGTGTGGCTGGAACATCGATGAGGCTCAGTAAATAGTGATTTATAAACAGCAGTACCCACTGACATGGCCAACCTTGCTGGGAAACCATCAACTTTGTCCTAAACATGCCCCCCTCCCCCCATTTAACCCTGGGAAGCTGCTAAGCATGGCTGTAGGAAGAAACCAATACTTTCGTTCATTTTTTATCCTTTTAGGAAATGGGAGTCGGTTAAGTACAGATCTTCCTTGTTCTACTCCTCTGGCCAAGCCCCCGGGCTCACCTGCACAGCCACAGGTAACTAAGGTTCACTAGCACTCGCCACGTGCCGGGCATGGCTAGCGGATTCGAACACAGGAGCTCATTTAGCCCATGGAGTAGGGGGTACTATTATTCATCCCTTTTTATAGATGAGGAAACTGAGGCACAGAAAAGTTAAGTAACTTGCCTGAGGTCACACCGAGCTGGGATTTGACCCCAGGAGGTTTGGCCTCCACCCTGAAGCACTGTGGAAAATGTCTTGGGAAAACCTTGAATGTCTCTCTCAAGTGGCGGAGAAGAAACTTAAACTGGGAGGTGAAATAGACACAGGCTCGATGTCTGTGAATGTCCTGCCCACCTCTGTGCTCAGGGCACCCAATTAAAACTGCGGATTGCCACTGATGCATTTCCATCCAATATGTATTTATTGAGCACCTCCTGTATACTCAGGAGAAAAGAAATCAAACCAAGTCGTCATGGGGGAAAAAGCCAACGTGGAACATTAATAGACATTAGTCCAGCCCCCTCTAAATTCAGAATTTATGATAATTTGCACACAGGCCAGGTGGAAATATATACTTCTGTGACAAACTCTGAAGATATGGTCTGCTAGGAAAATTAATATCGTGTGCATTTATGAAAATGTTTATTGTCAGTAAAAATGATGAGAGCAATAGCTCTTTCTTAACCATCTAGTATGTTCTGGACCTGCAGTAGATATATTACATGTATTATTTCTAATTCTCCTGATTATCCTACAAGGTAAATATTTCCACTGTTTTACACATGACCAAAGTAACGCTCAGAGAGGTAACAAAACTAGCTCAATGTTGCACAGCTAAGAGTAGCCGATTCAAACCAGGAAGTTTTGATTCTTGATGACCAAAACCACACTGTCCCTATTAACAATAACTAAGGCGTGCTGAGTGACCCCATACGGCACGCACTACGCTGAACTGTGTCATTTTATCCTCATGAGGGCCCTTCCCGTCATCTTTATTTTTGGAAGCTGCCGAAACATATAATTCAGAAGGTGGATGATCATACCCTGGATTGTAGAAAAGCCCAGGGAAGATAGTTTCTGGGTAATTCTTTTCTCATTTATCTATAACCACACGGCCCTACACGACTGCACGTTGTTGTGGCACAGTTTATTGAGGACTCGGTATGGAGCACGTGGTGTTCCAAGCCCGATCCAGTCGTAGCCTCACCACGAATCTAGACATCTCATCACCCCGTTTTACAGCTCAGCCACGAAGGCCAGAGCAGTGACCAGTCAAACCCAACATCGCACAGTATATCACAGCCACGGGGGGGTGACTACCCCAGTGCCTGGCTCCCAAGGGTGAGCTCTAAACCGCAGGCCCCATCCCCCTTGATTTAATTGGTCCAGACCAGGAGTGGCTGGGCCTCATATTTCTTTAAATTGAGCTATAATGTGCAGACAATAAAAGGCATGAATCTTAAGCATACACCTTGATTAACTTTCACCTATTTAACCACCGCCCATCTAGATCCAGAAGAGAGAACATTTCTAAAAGCCTAGAAGCTTCCCTCTGGCTCCCCGGGGTGGGCACTGGCCTGATGTCCATCAGCATAACCTGGTTTTGCCTGTCTTAGAGCTTGCTACGAACGGCGCCCTTCGCGCACGTTGCTCGCGTGTCCACGCACTGTTCTCTGTTGGGTTGAGATCCACTGCGGCCTTCGGCCCTCGCATCCCTACAGGCTCCCTGAACCGAGAAACGGGACCCTCACCGCTGTGGCGCCCCACTGCCTTGCAGAGGAAAATCAGGTAGGCGAGCGTCGAGCTCAAGCCAAAGGCAAAGGGCTTCCGGATTATTCGATACCAGGGCTCTCTCTGTGCAGCCAGCTGCCAGACTTGCAAGGCTCGGGGAGGCGGAGCAGGAGGCTGGTCCCCGAGGCTGGTCCCCTGCTCACTGACCTGACCCTCATGCCCTGGAACATCTCGGTGCTGGTGTGGAAGGGCAGCACCGTGGTGGCACTGACGCCCGGACAGTCCAGCAGCCCCAGGGTCAGGCTCTCCATGAAGGCGAAGGCCGACGCTTTGGACGTGCAGTAGTCGATGGCACCGGGGATGGCAGACAGCGCCAGCACGGAGTTGAGGCACACGATGTGGCCGTTCTGCAGCTCCAGCATGCGCGGCAGGAAGGCCTTGGTGGTCTGAGGGCGGACGGGGCGTCAGTGTGGAGTGGCCGCAGCTTCCAACAACCCCTCCTCTACCCCTCTCTCAGGGAGAACACCCCACCCTGGACATACGCTGCTCCAGTGTCTGAGCTTCCCAACAGGGAGCGAGCCCAGGGCTCCCCACTGCGGGTCACTGAGCTCACGTTTCAGAAAGTCTGATGCCTCCTAGGGCTGGTGATTCCTCTTATCCGGCCACCGTGTCCTTGGACATCCCCGCTGGCCTCTCCTTCCAGCCCCACCCCGTCTGGGCTTCCCGGCACGCCCGGGGCTGGCTCTGGCCCAGGACAGCCCTTACCCAGAACTGGCCCAGGGTGTTGATGTGCTGGGACTTGAGGAGGGCGTCGTCGTCACTGTCCATCAGGCTCTTCCCGTGGACCACGGCGGCGTTGTTCACCAGGATGGTGATGTCACCCACCTGCAGGCGAGAGGGGGATGTGGGGGGGCCACAAGGGCAGCCAGCCCCAGGGGCCTGCACGTGCAGGGGTGCGGACCTGGCCCCACCACCACCAGCCATGGGGCCTCGAGAAGCCATGTCACCTCTCTGAGCGGCAGTCCTGATTTGTGAGATGGGGACGGTGCCGTCCCAGGGCTGTTCTGAGGAGTGGAAATAATTTATGGCACGTAATATACCTGGCACATAGCATATTTATAATAAATGAGGTTATTGTTACATAAAAATAGTTCACATTACCACGTGCCAGACACTTAACGGGGTGGTTTTTGCTCTCTCGGAGTTCACGGATATATATGCTCAGTCCAAACAGACGCCTGGAGTCAGGAGAAGGATTTCCCCAGAGGGCGATGGGACATTTGCCCCCCCCTTCAACGGGTCTTGGAGAGAAACCCACAAGGTCTACATTTCCAAGGGGACAACAGGTGACTGCCCCTGTTATGTAATCAACCCTAACCCCTGTCCACCTAGCTTGGTCCAGCTTCATGAGAGAGTCCCCAACGGTGCCCTGCACAAAGCCATTCTGCCATGAGCAAGGCTCTCCCCGGGGCCACCTGGGGATGTCCTCCCCACGTGGCGTTACCCTGTGGTCGGCTGCGCTGAGGACAGACCCTTCCAGGCCGCTCACCTTCTCCCGGACAGCCTTGGCCGTCTGGTACACCTCCTCCCGGTTGCCCACGTCGCAGATGAAGTAGTGGCACTCGGTGCCCATCTGCCGAATCTCCTCCGTCGTCTCCTTCAGGCATTTCTCGGTCCGGCCCCAGAGAACAATCTGGAAGGAGACAATAACAGCCCTAAATGCGGGGTCACTAAGCAAGCCACAGTGGTTCAATGACTGCCATCGGAAATTCAGTATTTGAAAATAACTTGTCTTTAAATTACCAGCCTCCCTGATTTTACCCAAAGATAAAGTACACAAAGCAAAAGAACAATATAATTTTTTAAAGGGACATGGCCTACTCTTTAGTAAACCAGCAGTTTCTGAGCCCGGTCACGATCCATCGACGTGCTATGTACGCGTCTTTCCTACACACTCCTCCTGGCAGGCCGCCTCCTGCCAGCCCAGCTCCAGCCACCCTCCACCCGTAGAAGCAGCAGCAGAGCCGTCCGTGTGTGACGTTCAGGGTGCCCCCGGGTGGGAATCGGCGCCTTCTCACCAGCCAGCTCTAGAGCCGGCATTACCAACGGCAGCTGTTAGAATGGACTGGGCGGTTCCGGTGAGCAGCCTGGAAGGGTCTGTCCTCAGTGTGGCCGACCACAGGGTAACGCCAGGTGGGGAGGACATCCCCAGGTGGCCCCGGGGAGAGCCTTGCTCATGGCAGAATGGCTTTGTGCAGGGCACCGTTGGGGACTCTCTCATGAAGCTGGACCAAGCTAGGTGGACAGGGGTTAGGGTTGATTACGTAACAGGGGCAGTCACCTGTTGTCCCTTGGAAATGTAGACCTTGTGGGTTTCTCTCCAAGACCTTTGGGGGTTGGGGGGTGAGTGTCCCATTGCCCTCTGGGAGGTGAGGAGAACGTCCACCTCGCTGCAGTCACTCCCTGAGGGAAGTTCTGGAAGAATAGTGGTGGCGAGTCTCCTACAGAGCAGAACCCGGGGCCTCACCCAGCAGGGCATAAATGCGGGCTCATTGGGCCAGGAGGCGACCTCAGCAGGACCAGTAAGGGTTTGCACAAATTTATGAATGGCCAGCTCATAAAAGGCTCAGAAGAACGACTTGGCTAATTCCAACCTTGACCTACAGGAGTGCAGCACAGTTCCTCGTGGCTCATCAGTGGGGACAGAAGGGCCAGGGCTGGAGGACGGGGAGACTGAGAGCCCCACCCACGAATCAGCTCGACCAGGTGGGGAGAGGCTGGCGCTGGGCACTGCCCGGGACAGACGCAGAGAAAGGAAGAGCTGAGAGGCTTCTTGGGGATTAGCCCGGTGGGTTTCTATTTTTGTTTCTTTCTTTTCCTTTCTTTTCCTTCTTTTTAAAATTATTGATAAAAGTCCCCCTTAAAATAAAAAAACCCAGCATGGAAACCCCAACGTGTGAAACCAATAAAAGGAATAAATGATACATCCGACTCTGTAATATTTTCTTAGAAGCTACTAGTGAGAACGAAAAGCCTGCTTTGGGAAGGCAAATATTTCAAACTGGGGTTACAGAGAGTAGCTCCAGACCAGAATTCAACTGAATTCTCTGTTTTGCTTCATTACATGGTATAGACAAAAGTCCCATGGATGAGGGGTTGCTAAGGGTGATGTTTATCAACCGCTAAGCTTGACATCTGACTCAGAAGTGTCACTTAAGCAGAAAGGGCACAAGATGGGCTTGGCCAGAGGGATACACGTATTCTGGTGGTCTCCAGTGGATTTCACTTTTTTAATTAGAGTTTTAAAAACTTTTAAAATATTTTGTAAAAAATATAAAGAAATGAAAGTGTTCTCTCAACCCCTGAAGCAGCTCTGGGAAAGCCCAGTTTGAAAACCCCATTAGTCCAACACTTTATTTTAATTGAAGCCTTGAAACGCAGGAAGGGTTTTACGAGGGAGGAGTCTACCAGCTGCTCTCCGCGACCACGAAGCCCATCAAGGACAAACGGACTGCAATTAAACAGGCTCCAAGGGACACTTTCTTGTCTGTTGAACTAAAAACAGCCTGAGAATTTGTTCCTCCAGGAAACACTGGGAGGTGAAGTTCGTGGAGGAGGAGGGAAGCATTTGTTCTCTGTGTGTATTGCTCCAGGAAGGCAATTTGGTGAAGGCATCCTCCACTCCACTGGACCCCCCCTCACCCTGCAGCCATTGTTGTACAGGTTTCCTTCCACCCTCCCTTGTCACCCCATCCATCCAGTCCCCCATCTACCCCCCCATCCATCCCCCGGTCCATCCAGCTACCTGTTCATCCACCCATCCTTACATCTGTTCATCCATCCATCTGTCCATCTGTTCATGCATCCACCCATCCATCCATCCACCCATCCATCCATCCATCCATCCACTTACCCACCTCTCCTTCCTTCCTTCCTTCCTCCCACCCCACTCCACCCATCCATCCATCCGGTTTCTGAGGGTGTCGGCCTGACGGAACGGTAATCATTAGTCTTCTTTCTCCCGCTCTCAGGCAGGCATGGGGTCCCTGCCTAATCCCATCCCATCCCCGGCTCCTGTGGGTAACAGGACCATGGGGCTGGCTGAGCCAGGGAGACGGGCCTCTGGGGAACCTGAGAATTCCTGGGCAAGTTGGCAAGAGGGAAAGCTTATAGCTGGGGGGCTGGTTGGCAGGCACGGGGTTCAGATGCCTGGGAGGACGAGCTATGACCCCCGAGGGGTCTGCAGCAGTGGTCCAGATGGGGTGCCTTCTGCTCTGGGAGCCCTGGGCTTGCTTCTCAGCACGGACGGGTGAACACGGGGCTCCCTGGACCCAGAGGAATGACGTCTTTCTGGCTCCTGAATCCTGGGTAGGGCGAGAAGGGCAGGGGTCTGAAGCTCCCCGTGGTCTGACCAGGAAACCTGCAGTCAGAGGACCAGGGAGACCACACTGTCTGCTGGGCGGGGAGACCACCCTGGAGAAGAAGTGGGGTAAGGGAGCCGGGATGAAGGCTTGTGCCCCACTGTCTTCCACAGGCAGGGCCCTGGGGCTTGAGGGTGCCCCAGTGGGCTGGGGGGTGGGCCCCCTCCCCGGAACCATGATAGTTTTGTCTTTCTCCCTTCTCACCCCCGACCCAACTGCTGGGCTGGGAGCCCCCTGAGGCCCCCAGTTCTGTCTTGTTCATTTTCACATCCCAGTGCCTGGCATGTCCTCTTGGTGGAACGGCGGCACGGGTCGGGGGAGGGTGCGTGAGGCCGTGTTTTCCCAGAGTGCGAAAACCATGCCGGGCTGGGCTGGGAGGCAGGGAGCCGGCGCTCGCCACGGGGCAGGGATTCATCTCAGACGAAAATGAGGCTCAGGCTGCTGTGTGGGTGCCCTGCCACATGTGTCTCTGTGCAAGTCTCCGTGCGTTTGTAAGCATGTTTGTGCAGTGCGTCTCTCAGTGCGGGTCTCTGTTTGTATGTCTCTGTGTGTTTGTGTGTGTGAGTGTGTGGCCTTGTGTGCTGCTGTGTCTCCTCAGGTCCTTCGGTGGATACTCAGGGTCTGCTCAGTGTCCCCGGGGAGCTGAGCTGGGCAACTTCTGTCTTAGGAACAAGCTGTGTCTCCAAGGTGACGGGGTGGCAGGGGGCTGCCCAGGGATGGGCAGTTTGGGCACAGAGCCCCTTCCTGGTAGGTGCTATCAGTGGAGCTGCTCCGGCCACTGTTCCTTCCTGACCCCTCCTCTCCCTCAGTCCCTTGCCCCGACCACTCTGGGGAATCTGAGTCACTGACCAGGAAACTGGCAGGTGTAGCTCAGCAGGCCCGTCCAGGTGGCTCCTGCCCGAGTCACCTGAGGGTGACCTGGATGGCTGGCAGGACGAGTCCCGCCCAGCGCCAGGAGAGTGCAGACGGCAGGTGGGTATCTGAGGGTGTGTGGGACAGGACGCCTTCAGGGGGTGCAGATTTATGAGCCCCGGGAACCCAACCTGGCATCGTCTTTGTGAACTCCCAGGACAGGGAGCCGCTGAGGAGGGTCAGAGGCCGGAATGTATTCTGAAGCTGGTTTACGAAAGAGGGCTGGGGCAGCTCGACAGCTCCTGGCCACCCTTCCCCTCTGGGACACGCGGAGGGCGTCTGTCCCCCCCATCCCTGCCTCACCCAGAGCTGGCCTGGCTCCCTCAGCGGCCCCCCGCACTAAAGGCGATTATTATCCACTTTTCCTAGCTCAGGAAACCGTGGCTCAGAGGAGTTAAGTATTAATACCTTGCCCAACGTCACCATCAGAGTGTGTGGTGGAGGCAGGATTTGAACCCAGGGCCGGGTCCTCTGCGGAGGCAGCCCTGAACCCTGGGCACAGGGGGACGGTCTGAGCTTTGAGAACGCCGCTCCAGTCCAACAAGACCTGGCGCCCAGCGCTCACCCACGCCCCGCAGGTCCTTCTGCTTCCCCTCGCTCATGCCTTGCCCAGGCAGGGAGACCGCCATGGGCTGGGTGCTGTGCCCCGCGCTGGGATCCCACAGAGACCGAAACAAACGTGGTCCTGCCTCAGGGGGCCCACGTTCCAGCAGAAGATGGAAAACAGCCGGCCACAAGTTACAACAGGCGGGATGAAGAACCAACAAGGGGCTGGGCATGGTGGCTCACGCCTGTAATCCTAGGACTCTAGGAGGCCCAGGAGGGAGGATCGCTTGAGGTCAGGTGTTCAAGACCAGCCTGAGCAAGAGCAAGACTCCATCTCTACTAAAAATAGAAAGAAAAAAAATTAGCCAGGCATGGCGGTGCATGCCTGTAGGACCAGCTACTCGGGAGGCTGAGGCAGGAGGATCGCTTGAGCCCAGGAGTTTGAGGTTGCTGTGAGCTAGGCTGATGCCACAGCACTCTAGCCCGGGCAACAGAGTGAGACTCTTGTCTCAAAAAAAAAAAAGAACCAGTATCTGTGACTTTTAAAATAGAAAGCTGAATAGAAGGTTACCGCCAGATGATCCCCCAGATAGACTCTATGTGCAGGTATGCCCCCCCACGCTTGTGCCCCAGCGGTGCCCTTCGGGGCCCCCGTCCATTGTGAGGTGACTTCTCGCATCTCTCTCCCCACTGCCTGCTACACTTGGTCGTTACACAGTGTCCTTGGCCGTGTGCATGCTGTCATCGCCATTTGGAGTCTGTCTCCTGTCTCTTGCGGGGTGGGAACTAAATCTCACCCATTCTGGGCTCCCTG